CTGGATTCTTGCTGACAGCAGCATCTGTCATCTGGCAGTACCTCCAGCAGCCACAGAAAGTGCCCGGGGCCCTTTGCTGAGCACAAGGCCTGTGGCCACTGGGCCACTGAGCCCCCTCAAGTGCCAGGAGAGCACCCAGTGACCCCGTGGCCACCAGGGATGGGAATTAAAGCTCAGAGGAGACAATCCTCTGCGCTTCCCTCCCGCAGTGCCAAGCAGCTCTGCTCCAGGAATAGGTTTATCCTGCCCCTGACCTCAGTGTGGCTCTGCCCGTGGCCAGAGCTGTGCCAGAGCAGCCAATGGAGGGGATTCTGGGGCTGCCAAAATCCCTCAGCACGTCTGTGGCACGGCTGGGCTCTGTCCCTCCGGCCATCCGTGGTGGCCTCGGGGTGTCCCCAGTGTGGCACGGCCGGGCTGAGTCCCGTCCCATCCATCCTGGCTGCAAACCCCTCGTGGAAAGTGAGGGAGGAGACAGGACTTTCTCTCCAGCATCCAGCTGGGACTCACTTCCAAAACCAGCCATGGAACACCCCCCTGGCCGGGTGCCAGCGCCGGTGTCCCCTCCCAGGCCCCATGTCCCACGGTGTGCCCGTGTCCGTGTGTCCCGCCGAGGCGCTGGGAGGTGTGGGGATGGAGGAGGGCGGCAGCTGCCCCAGCCCCCCGCGCCGCTCCAGCTGTTTCCAGCTGTTTCCTTGTCTCCCTTTCCCTCCCCGGGGCTGTGCAGCACAATGCGGCCCCGCAGCAGCCCCAGATGAACCCGGGCTCGGCAGCGCTTGGTTTGTGTAACGATGTGCTGAGAGCTGTCTGTACTTTCTCCCTGCCCCAGTTCGTGCCGCTGGCTCCTCCAGGTCTCAGTGAATCCCTGCTCCCTCCCTTGAGGAATATTTTCTTTTTTTTTTTTGGGGGGGGACACACACAGGGGGAAGAATAAAAAAGATCAATCCCAGTTTCCAGTGGCGGAAGGCAAGGAGTGATTTCCAGCCTCTGCCAGCTGCGCTTCCTCCTTCAAACAGGGAGTTTGTGGCACCCCCAAAGCCATGGCACACTCACTCTTGGGAGGCTGAGATTAATCAGATCCATGTTTAAAGCCACATGGAGCCAGAGCATGAGTTCCTTGATCCGAAATCCAGAGCAGGGCTGGACTGTGGCTGTGACCCCAAAAAGTGGGGTGAGGGGAAAGCTGTGAGTACTGGCACCCCCTGTTAACGAGGTGCTCTGGGCCACCCCCTTGGACCCCCCATTAACGGGGAGAGCACTGGGACTGCCCATTAATAGGGTGCACAGTGCCATTCCCGGACCCGTGAGCACCAGGACTCCCCATTAACAGGGGGAGCACCAGGACTCCCATTAACAGGGGGAGCTCCAGAACTCCCATTAAGGGGTGAGCACCAAGACCCCCCATCGCCACCCTCTCCCTTCCCCATTACCATGAGGGCCTGAGGGGGCAGGGGGCGTGGCCAGGCGAGGAGGGGGCGTGCCCCCGGGGGAGGCGTGTCCACTGCGGGGTGGGCGTGTCCAAACCAGGGAGGGAGGGGGGCGCGTCTCTGCGCACGCGCACTTTCCCGCCCCTCCCGCCTCTTACACAACGCGCTCCGG